TGATACCAACTGTGACATCCCCATTTTCACGGCCAGAAAAGACCAATTTTGTTTATGTTTTATAAAAATCAGAGTACCTCTTTGTCTAGCAGCTCATGCAACTGCGTCGACAACTCCTGCATCTCGAGAGGAGCCAATCGATATGGTGCCTTGGCTATCGGTGCTGCACCAGGGACTAGGTCGATCCTGAACTCCACCTGTCGCTCTGGAGGTATCCCAGGAAGCTCATATGGGAACACGTCTGCGTAGTCTTGCACCACCGGAACGTCACTCACCGTCGCCTCACCCGCCTCCCGGGTATCCGTGACATAGGCGAGATATCCTGCGCAACCCTGCTGAAGGTAATGCCTGGCCCTCACTACCGAACATAAGGTTGGTCCTCGCGGTGGTCTCTCGCCCTAAATCACCAACTCTCCCCCACTTGGGGTCCTGATCTGCACCAACTGCCGCGTGCAGTCGATCACCGCCCTATTGGGGCTTACCCAATCCATGCCGATAATAATATTGTTCCCCCGCAAAGGTATGGGAACCAAGTCTACTAGGTAGCGCTCCTCGAATAATCTCAACACACAATCTCGGAACACTACTGATGCTCGCACCGATCGATCATCGGCAATCTCTACCTCTAAAGGGAAATCCAACATGCCCGAAGACTCGGGAAACCTCTTGCTAAGCGCAAGAGAAACAAAATATCGTGTGGCACCTGAATCAAACAACACCTGAATAGGAATACCGTTCACATGGAACGACCCTAATCATGCATATATAGAGCACATATCAATATCATGAACATCATATAAATAAATCAGAAGGGAAGAATCATACCCGTCACTACATTAGGTGCGGCGCGTGCCTCCTCGGTAGTCAACTGGAAAGCCCGAATCCTTACCACTGGATCCTCCGCCTTGCCCTGTTGGCCATCAGTAATCCGCAAGGTTGTTGGGGCTGGCGCCTTCACTGGTGCGGCTGCTGCTGCTGTCAACTGGGGACAATTGGCCTTCTTGTGGCCCCTCTGGGTGCAGTGGAAACATAGCAAATCTGATGTCGGAAAGGTGGGAGCAGGGGTGGTACAATCCCTGCTGAAGTGCCCCGTCTTGCCGCACTTGTAGCAACCAGACGCTCCCAACCTACAAACTACCTCATGCGACTTGCTGCATTTCCTACAACGGTTATGGCTCTGTTGGCCTTTCGGCCCAACATCTGATCCCTTGGGCTTCTTCCCTGAAGCCCCAGTCACCTGCCCCTCCTCTGCCTTCCTCTTCCGTATGTGCTCCAGATCAATCTCCCTCTCCCTTGTCCTGGCAATCATGATATCCAGGGAGGGACAAGCTGAGAAGCTGACATGCTCCCGAATGTCGGCTCGCAGGAAGTTGTGGTAGTGGTTCCTCCTCATATCCTCGTCTCCCGCATACTGGGGCACCAACAAGTCACTCTCTCGAAACTTGGCGGTAATCTCTACCACTTACTCAGTCGTCTGCCTCATATCCAGGAATTCCCGGGCCAACTGTTGGAGTTCACCGCAAGCGCGAACTCAACTCTGAACCGGGTCACAAAATCCGACCATGACATAGCCTTAACAGCCGAGGCTCCTAGAGAGTCACCAACCGACTCCCACCAATCTCTGGCTCTGCCCGTCAAGCACCCTGCTGCATATCTCACCTTCTACCCCTCGGGGCAGAAGCTAGTCAACTGTGCAGACTCCATGTCTGCAATCCATCGTCTAACAGCAATGGGGTCCTTCGCCCCATGGAAATCCGATACACCACTGCCCCTGAAGTCATTAAAGGATAGTGTGCGTGATCCTGACTGAGTGATAGCCATGTCACTCCTGAATGCCCAGAGGCGATCCTCCATCAGCTCGACAATCCCTTCGTTGATCGACCCAAAGATGAACGGGATCGCATCAAGGATGCCTCTAGTGATCTCGGACGCGATGAACTCACATAGCCTCTCATCTACTGGTTCGGTAGCTAAACCCGAACCCGATCCCTCTCCTGAGCTGCCAACTGCGGGCCTCGGACGTAGCACCACCATTCTGCAATACATAATGACAACTGTTAGTGATACTGATACATCTAGAGGGATCACACCCATCACAAGCTCCTTGGTCTTGCCTCGACCTTCCTTGATTCAAGTACGGATCCTCTACTTTTAGTAGTACAGGCTCATACTACCTTCCACATCTCTCCGTACTTTCCTTAAGAACCGCCTTGACTTAACCAAGTCACTACCACTACTGATATCTGCTACTTTCATCCTAGGCTCGCCCTAGGGTACCGCTATCTCCACCCAAACCAGTCCTCAGCTGCTGAAGGCCTCTTTGTAATGCCAATGAGCAATTACCTGAATACAATCACATGCAACGAGGCCCGGATAATCCTTCTAGTAAGGGACTCATCCTTACAACGGTTAGGACTCAAACATGAGTTGCGAAATAGGGTCAAATTCAATCCTCTAAGATTATCGAACCCTAATCACATGTAACTTTAGGGTATTCACTTAATAGCTAACTCCCATCACTCAGAGCCCCACAGAGCACAAGCAAGCAACATTAGGACAAAAAGGAACGTCCTCAAGCAATCCTATCCTCATAACAGGAAACTTTACTAGCATACAATGCTAAGCTAATACTATCAGACATAACATAAACAGGCTATCCTACTGCTGTCTACTCAATACTAGCATGCAATTCACATAGGCTGAACACATAAGGCATCATCCCTAAATCCTTAGTCCTATTCTAGCATGTTGTTCTACTGAAGCTGATAAACATAACATAAACTTGTATGGGTACTTCGGGGAAAACTTACTTGAGCTCGGCTGGTCGTGCACATCACACACTTCGTTCCTCCTCAAAACTCTTTTAACTTATTCTTTAGAAAACCATTTTTTTGTAAAAGATTTTAATCCCTCGATTTGAGTCCAGACACCCCCGAGGGTGTGTCCGAATTCCTCAAACTAGGGCTCTGATACGAACTTGTAACGACCCAATTTTCACGTCTAAAAATTTCATTTTTATAAATTACTTTAATTAAAACATTCATAGGAAAACATTGTCAAATCATAACATCTCATAAAACTGTTTATAACGTCTGAAAATTCAAATCATAAAGTAGTGATAATATTAGGGTATAATCCCAAGGAAAACTCATAATGCGGAATCTGAGGTGTGTGTATGATGTGCAGCTATCGTGCCGGCTCTTTCCCCTTCGCTGAAGAGGTACCTGAAGCAAAACTGAAAACTGTAAGCATGAAGCTTAGTGAGTTCCCCCATCGTACCACGTACCATAAGATCACATATCATGCATATACTGTCAGGCATATCTGGGTGCCCGACCTACCCCTTCGACCCTGTAGACCGGATAATGCCTAGCATATCTGGATGCTGGCCTCCCCTTCGGTCCTGTCGACCGGTGACCGGGGGCTATTTCACCCCTACTACTACCACATAATATCATATCACATATATCATAAACTGGATAGCATGGCTGGGTGCTAAGCTACCCCTGTGGTCCTATCGACCGATAGCCGGGGACTACTTCATCCCCTACTACTGTCACATAATATTGTAATATGCTAGCACATAAAACATAACAAGCAGCAGCAAGCCTATATGAATATCACAAAGACCATCATCTCACATACAGTTCCTATTAGTGGGCCGACATTGTGACCGTAGACCCACCGCTACTGGAAGGTAACTCACCTCATAAGGCTGACTGCTTGGAAACTGCTCGACAACTATCTAACTGCTGCTCCGGTAACCCTCCGGCTATAATCCCACAAAACACTCAGTTAGAACCTGATATCTACTTTTAGGGTAAAATGACTATTTTACCCCTAACCAAGTCCAAGTCAAAGTCAACTTCCAGTTGACCCGAATCACCGAGTTGGGCCGCCAACTCATCGAGTCCCTAACTCATTACCCGAACTTATCCACGTCTCTACTCGTAGAGTTTAGCAACGACTTGATGAGTTCCCCTTCTATATGAACATCGAATGAACCTTCATCCGTCTCGCCGAGTTGTACGAGCAACTCGTCGAGTTCATCTTCAACTGTAAGGAGATTGCCTTGGACTCGCCGAGTCCGTTCCTGCACTCGTCGAGTCCAATGAACTCCATATCTAAGGCTAAGTCCAATACGTTGGGTCACTCCCTTGGACCCTCTGAAAAACCTTCTAATGCTCAACTGGGTTCCTTCAAACCTTAACAGAATAAGGGATATTTGCCTCGGACTCATCGAGTCCCAAGAATGACTCGTCGAGTCGGGCATGTCCAAGTCTCATATCTCGATTTCCAGCGCACAACTCTTGACCAAAAGGTAGATCTAATCTCCTTCAATTGTTCTAGCATGTAAAGTTACAAAATTTACGTGCATCCATGGGACTTTGAGCTCTAAAGGCCATAAAATAAGATCTTATGATGCATGGGACCTTAGATGGGTGCAAAAGCAACCCCTAACTGCCTTGTGACTCCCTTAGTGGCTTGATTTTGAAGTCTCAACCCCCAAACATGCTTGTAATCATGGTTGGTCACCAAAAATGGGTATAAAAGCCCTAAATCTCCCCAAAAAGGGATCTAACAAATGAAAGAGCAAGGTTACAGCTTTATACCTCCAATGAGCTGTGGAAGATGCAAAAAATCGGGTTCCCTTGGTCTTCACTTGTTTCCTCGAGCTTTTCCCTTCCTCCTTATGGTCACAACTAGCAAGATCCACTAAAAATGCTTTAGCTCTTCTAAAAAATTGGCTAGGGTTTTCTATGGGGAGTTTTGGAAGCATTGGGGGACGAAAGGGAGGCCGAATAAGTGGTTTAAATAGGGTGCAAACCCTCATCTAGGGTTTTGTCCGGATGGTGCCTACTCGCCGAGTGCGGTCGCAGACTCGTTGAGTAGGTCATTAAACTTCTGTGTTCAGTTCGCTTCGACTCGACGAGTTGGACCTCAAGTCGCCGAGTCCAAGGCCAAAATAAAAATTACTAGAAATAGATACATACCTGGAACTAGGTGCTACAATAATTATTATCTTCATGTCTTTTACCACATCTCGCAACAATTCTTCTATTGTCACTCTTTTGAAAGTATATTTGGTACCCTCCATTTACTGCATAGTTTGTCACACAAAATTTTAGTTGTGCAGGTGATTCGAACACGTCCCCTAACTTAGGTTCCATCTTATCCCACCTAACACTTGGATCATGTATTTTGTAGTTGTCCGTTGCTACTTCCTCTGCCTCCTTATCTTTTTGCAAACCATTACCATGGTCCACTCGATCTTTCACCTCATCATTCATACTTGCATTTCTCATGTTCGCATCACAAAGTATAATGTTAAGAAAATTATCCTTACATATATCAAGCCTTGATACAAACTTCTGCAGTGGTTCGTGATCCATGTAAATCCCGTGTAACTCAAAATCCATCTCATTCAACCCAGAAAATGGGTTGTCGTAATCATCATCTGAAGAACCTATTTCTAACCCGTGCACAATCACAACCATTATCATGAAAAGTAAGCAATTAACAAAGGCGATTTCTCATAAAAACCATGATCAGATTATAATTTCTTACCTCTTGAAAAACCCTAGCTTCAGACAACGAGAATGCTTCACCAGATGGAGTTTAACATTTGAGTTCCTATTATCTATGTCTGAAGAAGTAGTAGCATGGGTGGGTGGTTGGGTGTGTGTTTCAATGTTGACAGAGTGTTAACGGAGGAGAGCGCCTTAACAAGGTTACCAATTGCAAAGGGGGATGTAACCGGTTGGTAAAGGGGAATCGGTGAAAAACATTAAAATGAAACATGAAGGGAAATATGAGGCATCTGTGGCAAAAAAAAAAATCGATTTTGGGCATAACCATTTTTTTAAATGTAAATTTAGGAGCTTTTATGACAAAAATCCAAAATTTTAATGTTTTTTCCCACTTTTTTACCTTTTAAATATTTAACATTTATTGGAGGCATACAAAATCTCGCTAATAATAATAATAATAATATTATTATTATTATTATTATTATTATCACATAATGAGATTTTGAAGATTAAAATTTAACTAAATCTTTTTTTAATGGTAGCAATATATTAAAATCAGAACCAAGACTATCTAGCAGCTAGCCAAAGAAAAAAAAAGCATTGTAAGGAAGGATTAGATTTTGCATCCAAGAGACTCAATTAATTATAATCTTAGAGTTTCTAAATGAAAACCAACGAAAAAAGTTATCTATAATACTATAAAAATAAGCTGCATTTTAGACTTAGAGGGTCAGAACAAAACAACATTTCGGTAATTCCAAAGCACCCATATCACTACCATAGAAATTGAATTATTGATCACCCTTTCTGATATGGCCCCGCATAGAATCTATCCAATCCACCAAGTTTCTGACTGAATTAAAAATAGGAAGATCAACATCCAGCTAAAGAGCAACCCGCCTCCAAATTTGTGAAGCAACATGGCAATGAAACATAATATGGGAAATAGTCTCAGGATTCTCCTGACACATCGGAAAAAGGCTCGAATCAAGATCCACACCTCTCATAGATAAAATCGATATAACAGAGAGGCGATCTAACAGAACACACTAAACAAAGATATTAATCTTTATAGGAATAAATCTCTTCCATCTGGTCTTCAAACTCCTTTGAGGCAACCAGACTTCATCAATAAGTCTTCTAGCAGATCTAATAGAAAAACACTAGAATAAAGACCAAAGCCACTTATCCATATGCAAACTAATAGAAACCGAACTTAACAAATCTAGAAGATTATTAAGTTAATAGGTCTTCGCACCACCTCCAATCAGCCGCCTCCAAGAAAAATCCATCCACTCAGGGACCAAACATCACTGGCCGTAGCATCTTTATCAGAAGATAAAGCAAAAAACCTATAGAAATGATGCTTAAATAACTATTGCATCAAACATCTTTCCAAAACCTTGCGTCGAGACCATTTCCAAGAACCCTAGAAATAGAAGAAGCAGGAATGCAATCTTGATCATGTAGATCCTTTATGGAAGCAACAATTTTCACCCAAACACCCCCACCTTTGAGAATTTGAGAATCCTCTATCAAACCTGCCCCTTCGCGATGCAAACATTTAAGACATCACACCCATAACGGTTGTGGTTATTTAAGAAAAAACCACCTCCACTTACAAAAGAGCCAAGCTAAAAGCATCCAAACTCCCAACATCAAGCCCATTTTCTTTATAGAGTTTAAAAGAAGATCCCCCTTGACCCAATGAATCTTCCTCTAGTCTTTCTCTATCCCTAAAAAATCTAGAAATACAAGCTTCAAGAATATGACAAACTGAAATAGGCATCCAAAAAAGAGAGAAGAAATAAATTCCAAGACTTCCCAACACCAATCTAATTATAAGAGTGAAACGACCACCAAACGAATGCAACTTTAATATCCAAGAAGAAAGTCTCTTACGAAACCTATCAATAATGACTTGCCACCCTTTGACTCTCAATATTGATTCCCTAACAGGAGTCCCAATATAAGTAAAAGGAAAAGACCCTGGAGAACATCCAGTAAAAGAAGCCATATAAATGGTTTTGATGTCACCAATATCCACTCCATAAATATTGGACTTAAGGAGATTAATTCTTAAACCCGAAATCAAATAGAAACATCACAAAATGTAAATGGGATTACGAATGTTCAATTCGTCCCATTCACCAAAAAAAGAGCATCATCTGCATAAAACAAGTGAGAAATAGATAGCGTGTTTGAATCCACTGGAACTCCTCGAAAGAAATCGGCTGCAACTGCATTCTCCATAGCTACATGCAGACCCTTCATGTCAATAATAAAAAGAAATGGAGATAAGGGATCACCTTGACGTAGACCTCTATGTAAATGAAACTCATCGGTAGGATTTCCATTCAAGAGAATGGAAGATCTGGCACTTGAAAAAGTACCAGTAATCTAGGAATGCCATCTAATACCGAATCCCATAAAGTCCGAAATTTGATCCATGTAATCCAAACTAATGGAATCAAATACTTTATCGAAGTCAAATTTAAAGACCATCACTTTTTCTTTTTCTTTTTAAACCATCCAAGTATCTCATTGACCATTAACAGGCTATCTAAAATCTGACGACCTTTAAGAAAGGTTGACTTCTCAAACCTAATAACCTCCACAAGAATAGGATCCAACCAATTAGCTAAGATCATAGCAATAATTTTTAATTGCAAGCCAATAAGACTAATCGGGGGTAATTCTTTAATGTAGAAAGGATTGTCAACCTTTGGAATAAGGGTAATAAACATGGAGTTGCAACCAGCTGGAAAATAAGTTTAGAATAAAATTCCTCCATAAAATCGATGACGTCAAAACTAAAAATATCCCAAAAATACCGAAGAAATACGAAGGAAAATCCATCCGGCCCAAGCGCTTTGCTCCCCCAAAATCGCACACCATATTTTTAATCTCTTTCATCGAGAAAGGCGCCTCAATAGTGCTAGCCACCTCAGTAGTGATTCTGGAGAATCTAGGACTTCTATTAATAATACGAACTCCCTAAAAGGATTGAAATTTTGGAGCATAAAATTCATAAAAAGATTTCTTGACTACCAAAGGATTGTGAACCTAATCTCCGTCCATGGAAATACCATGGATCAACATCTGGCGTCTTCATTTCTTCAACATCCCATGAAAGAAGTTTGAATTTTCGTCACCCTCCACTATCCAAGAAACTGTAGCTTTTTGAGCCGCATCAAAAGACCATATTTATTCTAAATTTTCCACCTCGCTTAGGATACTTTGTCTTTAAGCTATAATAGCATCAGAACAAATACCATCATTGATACTAGAATCAATCACATTCAATATCTGATGAAGCTTGATATTGTTATCCTTTGCCTTCCTCATAACCTCCAAATGCCAAATTCGAATTCTATCTTTAATAATTTTGAGTTTATTTTTAAACAAAACAAACTTGCTCCAACCTAGTTGAACAACGAAATCATGAATCTTACCTCTGACCATATCATCAAACCCATCCATTTGGAGCCAAGAATTAGAGAATTTAAAAGAAGTTAGCCCATAATCAATAGAAAAATCATGGAGAATAATAGAACAATGGTTAGACCAATTCCTTTCAAGAACTGGGACCCGTAAGTTTAGCTCCAACCGAATCCACTATATTAAAACTTTTTTTTGTCATAGCCACATCAACTAACCCCAAATCTTCAATGAAATTATTAAAGACACATGCAGAGACTTGACAGAAAATTGAGCCATATCTTTCCGATATATCTCTAACAACATTAAAATCACAAAATATAATGTAATTTCCCCCATGCCTTCGAACAAAAGAATTTAAGTAATCCCATATAAGTTGTTTCCCTTCCAAATCGTGAGGAGAGCACAAATTCACCATGTATCAGTGAATATTGAAAGGAACCTAAATTCCATCAATAATGACCATGTTATTAGTACACGTGACACTATCTTTAACAAAAACATTTGGATCCTAAATAGAGAGAATCCTCCTTCCTCCCCCCCCCCCCCCCCCAATAACGACGAGCACTACTAGTGGCAAAATCAAACCTATAATTACCCCCATAAACTTTGGATTTTAAATAAGCCCACTTGAGTCATTCTAGTTTCAGGAAGACCCAAGAAAGAAACCCCATTCTGGATACATACTGATTTCACCCAATTTCTTTTTGGAAAAGAACGGGTGCTACAAATATTTAATGAAACAAAATTCATTGATCAACATGTATAATACTAATGCTAGATAAAATTTGATGAACCTTCTCCTTATTTCCCATTCATATCATACCCAATAAGAGTACCCATTTCAAAATATTGGGACATAACATCAGAAGTGTCATTAATCGCAGCAGGAACCCGTTTCTTTAACAAATTAGAAGATTTAATAGAACTTGATGATCTTGCTCTAAAAGTCACATTATGAGATTTACTTAAGTTATTTGTAACACCCGTATAAGATATTTGGATACCAGGAGGTTGGGATGGAGAGCCACTCCTCTTGTTAGGACGAACAAAAACAAAAAAATTAGAATTTTGGTGTTGTACTGACTACTGAGGCTACATCAGGAACCGAATGTTGCTAAGTTGACACTGAATCAGACACAAAAGGCTGCTCCTCAGCATTAGTAACAGGTATAGTGCCCAAATGAACTGACAGAGGTTACTAGTCACAATTTTGAGCTGGAGATTCGTGGACATCATAAGCATTTTTAACATCAGTAGTAGAGAAAATGACTTGTTCTGTTAACAAATCCACCCCCTGTTCACCATGTTGAATATCATCATTATCACTGCCTTCATCACTTATTTCTCTATCTTATTCTTCCTCTTGATTAGTAAAAGTAAGGCCTCGTCCATGTTATCCTCACCATAACAAATTTCATCATCCGATTCTCCTGAAAGCTTTGGAATATCATTATCCTACGATGCACCACTATCAATAATCTCCATGTAACATCCGGTTTTGATAAGCCTCCTATTTCGTGATG